GGCTGTTGCACTAACTGCGCAAAAAAGGAAGCCAGGGAAACCAATATTAGAACATCTGAAGAAGAAACAATTTGGATGAAACGTCAATTTAAAAGTTATTTTAAATTGCCTTTCATTTGCCCATACTCAGGAAGCTTAGAAATGCTTAAGTTCTCAGGTCAGTTCCTGTTCTTCTCTGTCTTTATGACAATGCTTCATTTTCTCTGAGCCTAACAGTTTTGTGGTTGCCAGTTATAACAGGCTTTCATTTGGCCAAGGGATAATTTAGAACTCTTTCCTATGGTGCCTCAATCAGAATAGAGCTGGAAGGGACCTTGAAGGACTTCTAGTGCAACCTCCTGCTCAAGCAGGAGATCCTATACCATTTCAGACAAGTGGCTGTCCAGTGTTTTCTTAAAAACCTCCAGTGATGAAGCACTCCCAGCTTCTAAAGCAGGGGTCCTCAAACTTTTTAAACAGAGGGCCAGTTCACTGTCCTTCAAACTGTTGGGGGGGGCGGACTATAGTGTAAAAAAAATTAATGATTATAGAACAATGTAAAATCAAGTATAAAATGAAAAAATGAAAATAAAAATGAATTGGTTAATTATTTGAACGAGTTTTTAAGTGAAGAAAATATACATTTCCAGTGAATCCACACATGTTTTGTTTGGGAATGCAACTGCTGGTTTTTCCACAAATAGTTTTTGAGTTGTGGGAAGATGGCAGAAGTTTTCCTCCCTCACTTGTTTAATGAGTATGTCCAATTTTACTTCAAATACATATCACAGATGAGCTTCCCCTTTCCTTGAAGTTGTACAATGAAACTGTTGAGTAGCTCTGTTACATCTGTCAGAAAGGCAAGGTGCCAGTTCCATTCAGCATTTCTTGCAGATGTCTCATGACCCAAATTAGGTAACATCAGCAATGCCAGAAGAGAGGGGGTTTGTGGAATGGAGGAGGAGAAGAGGAGAAGGAGGGCGGTTGTAGAGTCCTTCGTGCTCTCTGAGCTTGGTGACTTTCTTGCAGATGACCCAAACTAGGTAATATCATTAGTTCACTTATTATCCCACTTTGGGTCCTGAAATGTCTGCAAGAAAACCACCATCCTCAGAGATCCCCCCCAAGGACCCTTCATTTTAACTCTGAGCCAGAAATATTCTCCTTGATTGGCATTCCGGACTTTCATTGCCTCAGCTCCACACAACCCCTCGCAACCCCGAAATAACCTTCCAGGAACAAATTCTCCTCCTTTTTTTTCGCTCACCCCAGCCACCCCTCACAAATACCTCGCCCTTCACCCGCTCCCCTCAGACCCATAACCGGCGCCCCACTCCAGCAGCCCTACTCCGACCCTCACAGGGGTCAAGCCTACTCACTCGGAGCCGTCGCCCTTGCTGCCGCTGGTGGGGCTGGGTCCCTTGACGATGGTGGGGGCGATGGTGAGGGCCAGTGGCACTAGTTTCTTCTTGGCCAGCATGGCGGCGGTGGTGGCAGAGGCTGGGGCTCGTGTTCTGTAGCGCCTAGTGAGGGACCCGCCTCAGAAGAAGCAACAGCAGTGGCATTGTCATTGCCAGGCTTGGCTGCCCTAAGTGAGGCCGAGGCTGCAAGTGAGACCTAAACCTCTCAGCCCAGCCCTAAGGTAAAAACGTGAAGAGGTGAGAGGAGGAGAGGAAGGGGTGTGGCCAAAGCACAAGCGCGCACTTGGGCGCGCAAGGGAGAAACTGGAGAAAAAAATCTCCTCCCACCAACTCACCGTCCTGCCATTGGCTGGGGCTCTTGCCGCCATCCACCAATCCTCTCCTCGCGATTGGATGGCTTGCCCAGGAGGTTGAGGAGGGCTGGATAAAAAGTCAGGGTGGGCCGCAGTTTGAGGATCCCTGTTCTAAAGGCAAGCTGTTCCACTGGTTAACTGTCCTCACTGTTAACAAGTTTCTCCTTAATTCCAGGTTGCTTCTCTCCTTGATTAGTTTCCATCTATTGTTTCTTGTCTTGCCTTCTGGTGCTTTGGAAAATACGTTGACCCCCTCATTTTTGTGGCAGCCCCTCAAATACTGGAATACTGCTATCACGTAACCCCTAGTCCTTCTTTTCTCTAGACTAGCCATACCCATAATGCATACTGCATCCAGTTTTGGTCACCACACTACAAAAAAGATGTTGAGACAGAGAAGAGCAACTAAGGTGATTAAAGACCTAGAGACTAAAATATATGAAGATTGGTTGCAGGAATTGGGCAGAAGGCCTTATACCATTTCAGACAAATGGCTATTCAGTCTTTTCTTGAAAAGCCTCCAGTGATGGGGCTCTCACAACTTCTGAAGGCAAACCATTTCACTGGTTGATTGTTCCCACTGTTAAGAAATTTCTCCTTAGGTCTAGGTTGCTTCTCTCCTTGATTAGTTTCCATCCATTGTTTCTGGTCTTGCCTTCTGGTGCTTTGGGAAATAGGTTGACCACCTCAATCTTAAATACTGGAATACTGCTATCATATTTCCCCTAGTCCTTCTTTTTACTAGATTAGACAAACCCAATTCCTGCAACCATTCTTCATATGTTTTAACCTCCAGCCCCTAATCATCTTTGTTGCTCTTCTCTGCACTCTTTCTAGAGTCTCAACATCTTTTTTATATTGTGGTGACCAAAATTGGGTGCAGTATTCCAAGTGTGGCTGTACTAAGGCTTTGTAAAGCGATATTAATAATTCACATGATCTTGATTCTATCCCTCTATTAAAGCATTGGCTTTTTTGGCTGAATTTTTTTTTACTGAAAATTCCATGTAGATACAGAAGTGAAAAAGCCAATTCTAATATTTTCGCACACAAATAGCATAGGAAAACTTTTCCCTTTCCCCTGGTCCTCCCACTCTCCATTGTCTAAACAATCAGTTACACTTGTGTTGGTTTGGGAACGGTCTCTCCATCTTAAAACTTTCCCAGCCGGTGACCTGGGGGAGCTGGATCTGTCTCAGGCTTTACCCTCCCCAATAGCCCCCTTGCATTCCAATGCCTTCCCTCCCCCCTCTCGTTGCTGATGTCTGGTTGTGAGCAGGGTTCGTGTAGCGAGCTGACCATGACACCTGTACAGTTGGTTTTCTTGCTTAAGTGTAAAAACCTTACTTTTATCTACACTGAATTTCATTTTATTAGATAGAGCCAAGTGTTCAAATCTGTCGAGATCCTTTTGGCTTTTGAGCCTATCTTCTGGGCTATTGGCTATTCCTGCCAGCTTACTGTCCTCTGAAAATTCTATTCCCTCATCTGGATTGTTTATGAAGATATTGAAGAGTACTGGGCCTAAAACTGAATCTTAGGGTATCCCACTACTTACTTCCCTCCATGTGGATATAATTCTATTGAGGACTACACATTGAGTAGGGAGTTGGACTAGGAGACCTCCAAGATCCTTTCCAACTCTGTTATTTTGTTAAGAGATAAGTTATGGGATGAAATTGTTTATACTTGTCATGATCAGGTGGAAAGTTGCTTTCTTAGAATTTTTTTCTTTCTCTTTTCCCTTGCACCTTTTTCTTTTCTTTTTAGTTTGTATTATCATTTACTTTTAATGCCTTTAACAAAATTATTTTTAATAAAATGATTGCAAAGATCCAGGTTTATTTTCACAGTGGCATAGAGCATAGAAATCAAGTGCCCAGTATCTGAATATGTCTGTGAAATCAAAAGTAAAATGTGTATTATATATACTTTTTCTTTCAAATTAAGAATTATGTCCCTTCTCAGATTAATAGCAACTATAATGTAATTTGAATTCTGATAGTCTTCCTTATTTGCAATTTTTATATTAATATATCTAAGAGTGAAAGAATATTGATATTCTTTATCCTTGACTTGTCAGAAAACACCAAGAATCGTTCCCATTGTGGAGATTTTTAATATTATCAGTAATAATAAGAAAATTTAGAGAAATTATTTTAAATTTCTTGGGAACTGATATTCAGATTCAGGTTATTAATGTGGTGATGTTTTAGCATGAGTATTGCAACTGATTCCCTGTGTGTTCATTTGGAAAAAAATGCATCAATTTTTATTTATGTTTACTTGTTACAACTGCTAAATGTACTTAATTTCAAATAATAAATACAATGAATATTTTGGTCATGTTGATTTTCTTTGGTGTTGATTTTTTGTAAAGGTGGTAAGTATGACCAGTAAAAACAAGTAAACAATAAAGTAGATAACTCTATAACTCTATGTTGTGAGGGATGCCATGGTGGATACCACTTAGGTGCATCATTCAACAGTAAAAATGATATATTCACATGCATATAAATGCTATAGAATGCTCTATTTAGGTTGTTGCATTGACTTCTAGACCCCATATCCAAGTTTAAGGCTTCTGATTCATTGTAGAACAACTTTTTAAAAAAAAAACTGTTGGTTTCATATGGACAAAGGATTCCCATGTACATTTGGATAAATTGGAAATGTTCTATGATTTAAAATGTTGCTGCTATGACTTTTTTTGATGCCTTCAGGTGATGAATAGAATGGAATGGGATGGAATGGAAATGGACAGAACAGAACAGAATCATAGGGCTGGAAGAGATCTTGGAGGTCTTCTAGTCAAAACCCCTGCCCAAGGCAGGAGACCTTATACCATCCCAGACAAATGGCTGTCCACTTTTTTCTTGAAAGTCTCCAGTGATGGAGCACCCACAACCCTTAACTTCCTAACTGTCAGGAAATTTCTCCTTAGCTCCAGATTGGATGTCTCTTTAATGAGCTTCCACTCATTGAGTTCCTTTAATTTTCTGACAAGATTTCAGAATTAGTTTGTCATTGTCTCCTTCCTAGGGCTCAAAAAGCGTGACTGGTCCAAGGGCACCCAGCTGACTTTGTGCCTAAGATGGGACTAGAACTCAGTCTCCCAAATTCTAGCCTTAATTACTACATCAATGCCATAGAACCTTAGAACCTGACACTATTACTCTGCTTGTATTTCATTACATACTGTACTTATTGTGAGTTAATCCAAAACTCTTCTATATAAAGCAAACACCTACCTGCCAACTGAAAAGACTGTTGTTTCTCCAGGGTGCATCTTGCTTTTGCTCTCTTTTGACCGGCCCTGACGATGTAAGGGAGGTCTCTTTTTCTTGCTGCAATGAATGCAAGGTGCTTGTGTTGAGCCTAAGTGCACTGTGTGGTGATGAGGAATGCCACCATCTTGGCTGCTACGATGTGGACATAGAGCACTTGAGAAAAGGAAAAACAAAGACCATCAGTCCAGAATAGAATAGAATAGAATAGAATAGAATAGAATAGAATAGAATAGAATAGAATAGAATAGAATAGAATAGAATCTGGAAGAGACCTTGGAGGTCTTCTAGTCCAGCCCCCTGCTCAAGCAGGAGAACCGTCCTATACCATTTCAGACAAGTGACTGTCCAGTCTCTTCTTAAAAATCTCCAGTGATGGAGCGCCCACAATTTCTGGAGGCAAGCTGTTCCACTGGTTAATTGTCCTCACTTTAGGAAATTTCTCCTTAATTCCAGATTGTTTGTCTCTTTGATCAGTTTCCAACCATTGTTTCTCATCCTTCCCTCTGGTGCTTTGGAGAATAGTTTGACCTCCTCTTCTTTGTGGCAGCCCCTCAAATACTGAAATACTACTATCATATCACCCCTATTTCTTCTTTTCTTTAGACTAGCCAAACCCAGTTCTTCATATGTTTTGGGCCATTAGATATAAAGATCAGCAGTTATATAAATGGAATTCTAAAGCAAATCCCATCAGCATATATAACACATAGCCTACCCAGAAAAATCTGCACTAAAAGACAAAATCAGACTTCTACTCAGACTATTTTCAAACTCATGGATAATAAGATATAATCCATGAAACTCCATTCTCTAGGAAGTATATCTACCGAGGCCCAAATGAAATAACTAGGAGCTGTACAAGAACATTACACAACTGCTATACAGCTTTGGAGAGGAAAGCTTCAGGCAACAAAAATATCCTGCATCAAGACAAAAATGCTAAGGAAACCAATTAACTAGGGCCATCTGAGCCTGACTTTCTGTTCTGGCTTTTTATCCTCCTGCAAAAAGATGGACTGCAATATGTTTAGTCCCCTCTGAATGACAGACATCTAGCCTAGTCATTCAAATAGAGTGAAAACTACCCACATGCATTCAATATGCAGCTGTTCTTACCACTCTTCTTTTTCCTAGTAGACCCTGTAGGATGTCATGTTGGGGGAGACCTCTCAATATTTCCTCCCCAACCACATTTTTTCCATGCCTCTGGGATTTGAAACAATCAGGAAGAAAATCCTCAATTAGCACTAGTGGTATTGTGAGGGGTTTGCAAGACAGATGGCTGGGGAGAGTTTTTAAACTTCTCCTCCTATGTCCAGTAATCTCCATTACACTTATATTAGGTTGGAGAAGAATAATAAAGCAGTATGTTATGTCTCTCTCACACACACATACCTATATACACTCACTACTATATCATGTGATTTAATACTGAGCATGACTGAGGGAAGGAAAAAGGAAAAATTGAGAGATTCTCAAAATGTGATTGATACTAAGTTGAACCTATATGCTCTCCTCACCTGGGCACAGGCACTGGCAATGGGAAATCAGCATCAGCTTCTCCCAGCATTTCTTTTAGAACTTCAACATTTGCTAAAAAGAGAAGAAAGTAGAAATGTGTCAAAACAAGGTCCCAGGTGATAAGTGTTTACTTAATTAAGCCAAAATTATGCCCACCTTCATTTTGAATGATACATTTCACTATTTTTTCTACAGTATCCTCATTTAGATCCTCATCCTCATCTGAAAGAAAAAGAAATACAGAAGTGAAAAAAGAGTAGTTGTAACTCTTTGTAACCTTCTAAGAATCGTGAAAAATCCAAAGTACTGCCCCTGCTACAACCCTTAAATTATTTTGATTTTGTCCTTTTCTTTCAATATGGCCCCTCCTCCTCCTCCTCCAACACTACCCTTCTGTTATTTCCATTGTGCACGGTTTTGAAATTGTAGGTAATACTTTCATTAATCTCCTGAATTACGGGTCTTTAATTATTATTATTTTCCTGATAGAACAATTGATCATTACATGAGAACAATTGGTTGGTTATTTGCAACAAAAAAATGAATGAATAATGAATGAATGTTAATTTTCATTGAGAAAAAAAAAGTCAGTTGTAAGGGCTGACTTACCAAAGGAACTATTTAATGAAGAACACCAAAACCTCTGGCAGGGAAAAAGCTCAATAGTAATGTTTAATTTCCATGCTGATGAATACAGTTTATTTCGAAAAAGCATACAAAACATGAAAGCAAGATGACTATGCAATAGGTTGGCAGCAATACCTTTTCAGTTCCCCTGAAAATTGGTTCTTCTACACTGTCCATTGAATGATATAAAATGCTGAGCCATATTCTTCTACATTTAATCATACATTGTTATTATAACATAACAATTACTGTATATAATATTATATTATAATATCCATCAAATATTTACTTTGCTCCTTTCAGAAAAGAACTTAGAGCTCATCTAGACCAGCACATAAATCACATCTATCCATCCAGTTTACATTTAGATGCATTCAATGAAAGAGTATCCAACCAGCATCTAAGGTGAGCCATTCAATTTTAAAACTGGTTTTACCATTAGGATTTTTTTCTTGATGTATAGTTCCTTGCCATTTTAAATTCACTGTTCTTCCCCTGTCTTCTGGGACAGCTTGGAACAATTCTGCCCCATTTTGTACATAGCCACCTTCAAATACTTGAAGATACCTTTGGCATCTCAATACCATCTTTTCTTCTTCAGCACACCCAGTGCCTCCAAACATTTCTCATATTTTTTTATTCCATGTTCCCTATCCTTTGCACATACAGTGACTTTCTTAAAACAAATGAAGAAAGGTCATGAAATTTCTTTTTTTTTTTTTTTTT